AATTGAAAAATAAAAGGGAAAAAATTAAAGAAAAACACTTTTGCTGCTCAACCACCCCAAAGCATTTGGCAAAAATCATTTCCGCCAGTTCAGGTGATAAGACACACGCGTAATTTTCGGCGGGCGGAGCCGGCGAGCGGCGGCAGCACGCCCATAAAATGGCAGCCCGCGTATGTATTATGAAGGGGATCTTTATCATCGTCGTAAACAACAGAATCTCTAGCCGCCCGCCTTTTTTTTTTTTTTTTTTTTTTTTTGCGCCCGTAATTGTATTATTTTCACGTGAGCCCGGGCCCGGGCTGGGCCGGGGCGCCGCCTAATGTATTCCACACGACAATGCCTCCTGTTCCGGGGCCGTGGCGACCCGCGCCCCGTGAACTCCTGGGCCTGCAGGACCACGGCAGGGCCACGGTAGGGCAGCCCTCGCGCTAATAAAGCTATTAGGCCGCGGGGCCATGACACCACCAGCGCGCCGGGGCGTCGCAGCGGAGGGTGACGTCCAGGCGCCACTCCATAAACACGCCAGGACCGGAGAAAACCGGCGTAAAACAAAAAGGCGCGCGCGCATGGAAATGTGTGTCTGCCTGCAGGGCGGGCAAAGGCGGTGGCCTAGGGAAAAAAATGAGGAGTATATCGTAGGCCAGAGCGAGGAATAGGTGCAAGGGCGGGCTGTGTGCAGCAACGGCATCCGCCCTCGACACGTCCGCCTAAAGACCGGAAAATGTTGGGCGCTGGACTGCGGGGCGGGGCGGGGCCGGTCAGAGAGAAACAGGCAGCGCGTCGGCAGGTTAATAATGTTTCCCCATTTTTGCCCGGTAAAACAGGCATGTAGTGGCGCACTTCACTAATTAGCCATTTGAGGGGTCAGCTAGTCGGAGCAAGGAGCTGGGCCGGCCAGTGAATACCATTAGGGCGCCGAGGGGCCCGCAGAGCCGGCGCGGCGCGGCTCCCGGAGCGGACGGGCCGGCCGCGACCTTGGAGGGAGGCCCTGCTGTTGCTGCTGCGCCTTCGCCGGCTCCGAACGGGGCGCCTTCGCGCGGAAATCTGGCAATTTATAGGCACTAAAACGGAGCCCGGCCGGGTCCGGCCGCGCCGCGACTGCGCGCGGTAGCTGCCCGGCGGGCCGCCCGGGCCAGGAGCAAGGGGAAATGAAGATATTGCAGGAAATTGGAAAGGCGAGCGGCTGCAGCAGGGTATCCCGCCTCGAGGGCCGGGCCGGGCCAGGCCGGTGCAGCAGCTGCAGCTGCCATGTGGCCGATGATGTAGATCGG